GTCCTGATCACCGCCATACCTCATGTCAATGTCCTGATCACCGCCATACCTCATGCCAATGTACTGATTACTGCCATACTCCATAACTGATATACATCATACCAGCAAATGACATTTTATGTTCTCAACTGATCAGTTTTCAAAAATATATCCCATAGTTTTTAGACTCTATAACTTTCAAACAGACTAAATAATATACATTGTTTTGGGTTATTTTTACCCCAAAAATGTAGCAGAATACATTTTGGCTTAAATTTATGAAGAAAGATAATTTATTTTAAAAATCTTATAACACAAATTATGCAAAAAAACACCAAAAGAAATCTCTATCTGTCTCCAAAAAATAAACATTTCATATGGATGCAGTGTTGCATGACTGAGTAATTGTCACTCAAAGTGTGACTGTGCTGCAATCTAAAAATTGGTATCGAAGGGGGTGAAAGTGTGCGGACTTGAAATGGTTCAAAGAGGATTCTTTTCCTTTTGGGAAGATTTCCAGTCACTTTCTGTTGCGGAACACCCTTAATAAAAAAACATACAGCAACTGCTTCTTAGAGAGTCAATGACCCAGAACAAATACTCAGACTAGAGACAGATCTAATTTTCTTAACTGCATGCATTCAATTCTGTTGACTTTGGCATTTACAAGACATTTGTTTTGCTTTAGATGAAGTGATATACTGTATGATGCTCAGTCTCACTTAGTAATGTTCACTTTAAAATCCCACAATTGAGGAAAATTACTTTCCTTTACAGATTTGATGACTAAATATTCCATTCTTAAAGGGGAATTTTTGACATCGACAAAGTTTGCCTCCTTTTTAAATCACAATTCTACCCACTACATTGGAGTTATCTTCATCTGTCGGATCATGTTGGAGTTCCAGCTTCACTAAGGTGAGAGGAATTTCACTTTTTTACAGTTTGCTAAAGTACAAAATTCCCTCAATGCTAAGATAGGGAAAATACCTTAATCGTTCATTCACAGATAAATAATGGGTTAATGCCATTAAAAATTATTACTCTTACTCTAAATGTGTCAATTATTGGGAGTTAGCCCCAAAAATCTATCTTAGATGGAGGGGTTAGCAGGGGTTGGGGGTCAAGTGATTTTGGAGGTCAAGAACCATATGGGCATGATTTATGGCTCTGAGAAATTACTGGCATACAGGGATTACAAACCCAAAAAATTCCATGGGAGATGGGAAGCACGGGAAAAACTCAAATGAATCTGACGCATAGGGGCAGCCATTTTGCTTGAAACAAATGACTGGTATAGTTTGTTTATTTAATTATATTACGTTAGTATTGTTTTTGGTGCAAGGCATGACACACTAAGTTGACTACTTAGGTTAATGATTACAATGATTTACTGACACACTAAGTTGACTACTGAGGTTAATGATTACAATGATTTATGCCATTCAGGATACTTTAGTTTATGTGACTGATGTTGATCCAGTACACCACTAGTGATCACTTTGGGATGATTCATTCTCTGACAATATAGACAAATCCTATTGCTTCAGCTGTAATTGTTGTGGACGTTTTGGTTTCATTGTGGAACAACTTTGTCTGTTCCTATGATGAAGTCACTGATCATGTGATGAAAAGCGTCAGAGGGGGCCACTAGATGTCATTACGTGAGTTTGGCCAATTTAGACACTACTCCAGAGATATGCATCCTTAAGGGGGTAATATACTATTAGAATGGAATGGAAATGTAAACAAACGATCAATCTGGTGCACTGGATGTTACAAGTGCACCATACTTGTGAGTGTTTTTAATCTTCCTTTAAAACACAATATCAAGTTATTCTGATACTATACCATGAGACCTTTTATGTTTTATTTTTCACATTGATTTGGCTGGAGTCTTGCTGTTTTAACCTCCCTGGAGGTATTCCCGAGTGTAGCTCGGGGTAAAGTTTCAGCACCACAAGCGGTAACCCCGAGCTACACTCGGGAATACCATGCGGAGCTGCTCCGGGATCTCTTCTTTACTTACCTTGTCCTGCGCTCCAGCGATGTCCCTCCTGCAGTGTCTGCTGCAATGTCCTCCGGTGGATGCCGGCATCTGTCTTCTGGGTTCCGTTCCCTGCGACGTCGGGACATATGGGGACGGAACGGCGGGAAATTTAAAAATGTGAAAAAGTGACATTCACTAAATACACTAAAATCACATAGTAAAACATTACTGTATCAAACCATTTCACATACATTTTGTCCCTAGTGCTTTGTCCTGTGCCCTGCCTACATTTTTACTGTTTTTTCTGCCTGGAAACTGAGAAATGTCCACGGCGTCCAAAAAGCATCCCTTTAGGTCAAAAGCGGTTTTAGACCAGCTAGAGAACAGCGATAGTAAATTAGAAACACTTGCAGAATTGAGTGATAATGATTCGTGGGGAAATTCGTCATCAGACACTAAAAGCGATTTTGCGACTTTGCTCAGTGATGTGCGCTCTATTTCAAATTTCAGTGTTTTTGGTTTGATTATATTATTGATGTAAATTTATTATTATTATATTATTATTTTTTTTATAATTATTTATTAAATTATAATTTATGAATTTGTGTTTCAAATTTTAACATACCCGGGATGTTTACTAGACTCTTGTTCGGACAGATTTCAGTGAGTTATTCCTAAAACTTACAGGCCTACAATAAAAAAAATACATATTTCCATACAAAAAAATGTACCGCTTTGAGCACAGAATTACTGACATAATCAGACTGCTTGGGAGGCTACAGTGATACATACCTAATACAAGTGAATTGGAGGAATATTGCCAGTTATTACACTCAGAGTGTTGAGAAAGTATGTTTGACGTTACCTTTGTGTGGGTCAAACCTTGAGGTAAGCGGCAGCATTGGAAGGTGATGGTTCACTGTGGTGGAGCACTTTAGCAACTTTATAGTGAGTACGCATGACATATGCATGTCACCAAACATGATATTTTGAAGAAAGATGCTAAGTTCCCAGAAGCTGTCATTTATATTTTTCTTGCCTTTCAATACATTGAAAGAATACATTGCAAATATTATTTTTAATAGTCTTAAAGGAGGAATCGCTTTGAAAATCTAATTATATATGGCTGCACCTGCTTTATGCATTATTTATTGATGTAGCCAGATGCCAGCTATATCATTATGCCATTCCAGAATATTTACAGATGAGACTATGGTTAACCCTCTTCTCCCTAGTGCTCAGTACTGGAACTGCTACATCACTTCCTGTTAGCAGAATACATTCAGTTTCTTTGACAGCAGAAGGTCTTGGGACCTGTAGTCCTATAGCCAATATGTATGTAGAATGTATTCCTGAGTGCTGATTGCGCTAGAACTTCCATATAGCTGGCGACGAGGAAGTTGCTGGGAAAGCAGATCTATACTACAGCAAAGGACTGACTCTCTCTCTTGGCATGGGATCCAGAGCTGAACACAAGGAGACTGCCATTCTCCTCCAGAGAAAGATTGATGGCCTTCTACTGTGGGACACTGCAAATCAGTTCAGCACAGCGGTGATACCAGTCGCCACCCTGAGATTGCACCAGCGTCTCTGTATCGGGACTGTCATTGTCCGGTCTTCACACAGACATCTCCACTCACTGCACTGACAAGCAGTCAAATGGTAACTCCATGCATCATTGCAACTTTCCAGGGAAGAGCCTGAGCAAGAACTCCCCAGATGCCCAACCTCTTTCTGTCATCACTCTAGAGACACTGCATGCAGACACCTTTACACCTCTGTGCCAGGAGATCTTTGCTTTGAGCAGTACCACAATCTATCTGTTTAGTTTGTATTGAATTACCAGTATTCACTAATGTTTATGGGCCCCCATTACTGCTAGCAGAAGACGTGTACCACCATATCAAAAGCATTAAACATCAAAGTACTCTCAAGTTGTAATCTCTAGTTAAAGGGACCTATTCTCTTTTAAGGCTATTGCTATTCAAATTGGGGTACTTATATCTATTCATAATAGAGTATATGTTTCATAATTCTCTGCACTCTCTGCATTTTCTTCCCCCTCTTGCTGCTGATGTTGCAATTAAATGGTTTGAACCTTACGACTCATGGCTGTATATTCTGTTAAATGTTGGTAATTGATTATTTCTATTTTCAAGTGTTCTGCTTTTATGTGTTAACTGGAGTTTTATTCCCTAAATCCATTATTTCTGTGGCCTACCCTTTGGCAAAGTTTAATATAGAGGTGTTACTAAAGAAATGTGTATCTTGCATTATTATTCTATACTGTTGAAATATGTCTGAACACACAGGGGTTTATTTACTAAAGCTGGAGAGTCCAAAATCAGACTCCCTTCTGCATAGAAACCAATCAGCTTCTAACCTCAGCTTGTTCAATGAAGCTTTGGCAATGAAACCTGGAAGCTGATTGGTTTCTATGCAGAAGAGAGTCTGATTTTGGACTCTCCAGCTTTAGTAAATAAACCCCACAGTGTCAGAGGTGTTGGGAGGCTTGCAAGGTTAGGGCAACCCTGCGGGGGTAGCTCTACATTTACAAATTGTTTTTCCCCAAAAAAATGTTTTTAACATCAAACGCAAAAGTACAGACATTGAAATGACATTGTAACAAAACACTCAGGATGGTACAGGGCCAGGGGTGGACTGACAACTCATGGGGCCCCTGTGTCCTTGCCCAAACTCAAAAAAGGCTATGACAAAGGTACCAGGGGCATCTCAAGGGGCCCCCTACTGACCCCGGGCCCTCGGGCAGTGCCCGAGTTTCCAAATGGTCAGTCCACCCCTGTACAGGGCATGAAGCAGTTATAGCCACTGTGTGCCTTCAGCTAATCGGATCTGGTGTTTCAACTTGCTGTGTCATTAGCCATTGATGGATTGGTGATTTCTGACATGTGTGCTGCTTTTAACCTCTACCTCTCCACTCTATAGAAGAAATACTGCTACAGGGCGGCACATATATAGACGTCATTTTGCATTTCCAGGTATATATACGTGATTTTGCATTTCACGCGTCGAGTATCATGGACAGGGGAGAGACCTGTATGTAAACAATACAGACCTCTCCCCTGTCAACTCCTGCACACTGCTTTGTATGGCTCTGCATAGCAGAACCATACAAAGCAGTGTGCTTACAGTGTAACGCACACACACAGCACACAGTGAAACAGCACATAGTTAACCCTTTGATCGCCCCAGATGTTAACCCCTTCCTGCCCAGTGTCATTAGTACAGTGTCAGTGCTTTTTATTAGCAACGATCACTGTATTGTTGTCACTGGGGATGTCAGTGACAGTTAGTCAGTGTCAGAATGCTGGCCGAAGTCCCGCAGTCCCTCTATAAGTTGCTGATCGCTGCCATTACTGCTATAAAAAAAAAAATTCCAATATATGTACCTCCATTTGTAGACACTATAACTTTCATGTAAACCAATTAAGTTACATGTATTCAGATTTTTTTTAGCAAAGACATGAAGCAGAATACATTTTGGCCTAAATTTATGACGAAATTTGATTTTTTACTGGACATGTTTAATAGCAAAAAGTCAAAAAATATTGTTTTTTTCTCAAAATTGGCAAGTTTTTTTTTTACTGCAAAAAATAAAAAAAGCACAGGCAATCAAATACCACCAAAAGAAAGCTCTATTTGTGGGGAAAAAAAGAATGTAAATTTCATTTGGGTGCAGCGTTGCATGAGTGCGTAATTGTCGCAAAAAATGGCCTGGTCAGCAAGGGGGATAAATCCTCTGGAGGGCAAGTGGTTAATAAAGGTTTTTTGCTTGGTATTAACCTCAGCGTCCTGCTTTTTGCTATTTCCTGCTTTATGAGGTGACCCTGCCCAGATCTCATAGGAGCTGCAAAGCAAACAATTTTCCATCCATCCATTCATCATTCATCCATCCACCGTCATCATTCATCTATCATCCATCTATCCCTTCATCTACTCCTCTACCATTCATCTACTATTGCAGTAATTGCTGCTATACGACAGACTCTTAGTGTGTTTATCCATGGACTAATTGTTACATAGTACAGAGGAGCGCTGGATGCTCTGTGTAATATTTACACATTGCTTTTGTTTTTTTGGATTTTTTTGTGTACAGATCTGTGCACACAGGCAGGGAACAGGAGAACATAAGAACACGAACAATACAAATTAAATAACTCAAGCAAAGTAGATGTAAACCCAAAGACTAAAATCTCATATAAAAACTTGTGAGCTGCTATGTGACTAATAAATCTTAACAAGTGCTAATTGTGAATCGCCTGCACATAACACATACTCATACTAGTGTGTCAAAACAAACAAAGAAAACACAATTTGCCCTGCTTCACTTCAAAAGTGTGTATCCAATCACCAATATTTCTAATGCATATCCAAATATATAAATGAATAAAAAGATATACAATTGTGTAAAATAAATGAAAAAGTGAATTAACCAATTATTTTAAACAACAGTGTCCATATGATTGAATATTATTCCCCCTGATGAAGCCACGTGACCGGTGGCGTAACACGTAGGGGAGGGGCTTTGACCTCACAACGCTCGATGGTACCATACTGACACCAGCTGGCAATTTTAGCATTTTCACCTGGGAAAAAGTTCTGGAGGACACATTTTGTGCACAAAGCGGTTTTAACATACAGTAAATGTGAGTGCATTACTTTTATTAATAAAAAATGATTTTTAAAAGGTAATACACTATGATTTGATTTTTTTCCAATATAATAACCACCATGGAAGGGGAGTTTATCGTTTGAGTGGAGAAGGACCCCAAACAGCAGGATACCATCCCATCCATACTTTGACCCATTTAAAGGGACACAAGCGTTATATGACCTTACTTAATGATTTGGTCATATATTTGAGGTGAGAGAGAGTACAACCGGTGGGGGAGCACGTTTATGCAAGTTATTTGCACTAAATATTTTTTAAGAAGCACGGCTATTATACGCTAAAGCAAAGATTGCACGTATGAAGAAACTCATATATGGATTTTTCTTTTGACTGCTTATAACAATCATATGGAAACTGTTGAAAATAATCATCGGTTCATTCACTTTTTCATTTATTTTGATATATAACTGGATGCACAATTGTATATATTTTTATTTATTTATATATTTGAATATTCATTAGAAATATTAGTGATTGGATACACACTTTTGAAGTGAAGCGTGGCACATTGTGGTTTTTTGGTAAAATCTCATATAAGCTATAACAACTAGTTTATAGAACATCATAATAGTTCTTTGTTTGGTCACATTGTGATATGTTATGGGAGGACAGAGCTCAGCCCTGTCTTCCACAATCCCCAGCCTGTAGATCGCTCTGTAACATGTCTTTGCAAAGGAAAAGTAGGCTTCTGTGCCGATGCTCATTGTTCAGGAATTTTACACTATTCTTTTTAAATAAAGGACTTTAACAAAAATTACAGCCAGCAACAATTAGCTTGTAAAACCCATGAAACCATACATGCAAACGGTCATCATTGAAGTGTGGTTATCAATGGACTGAAATAGGCTGTTGAAAAAATAAACTGAAGCCACCAAAAAATGAGGAAATATGCCCTGTGAAAATATGGACAGGGATACAGGGGTGGGGTCATTTACTAAAACTGCATGGTGCAAAATCTGGTGCATCTTTGCATAGTAACCAATCCGCTTCCAGGTTTTATTGTCAATGCTTAATTGAACAAGCTGAAATTAGAAGCTGATTGGTTACCAAGCACAGCTGCAACAAATTCTGAGTGCTCCAGTTTTAGTAAATCCCCCTACTCTGAAAAAATGCATAAAATAGGAAATACATATGCCCTGGGATAAAAACACATACAGCGTGCTATAACTGCCATGCATACAGTATGCACAGAGACAAGCTGTGAAAGAAAAAGCAATTGCAACCAGCCAAAAATAGGAAATATTCCAAAAAAAAACAAAAACTGTAATCTGTAACACACCTGTAAAACAATGCATTGGGAGAGGCTGTAACAAAGCTGCAGGACCCACAACAGCCTCAATCACGTGTACAAATCATGCTTTATTACAGGCATTTTGGTACAGGTTTTTTGTTAGGTATTTAACGGCAACATTTTTGTTGCTGACATATTGCATCATTCATTTATTTTTGCAAACAACAGTTTCACTGTAATACTATTCTTGGCATTGGTGTTATGATATAAAATTCATACTAGAATTTTCATCTTGACAATACCTTTAGAGAAGAGATCATACCTGAACTGGAATTTTGGGGATTATTTGGGGGGGTTTAGTGTAATTAACAAATGTACTATTGGTATTTTGAGCATGTTCTGTAAACTTGTTATAACTGTGCACCATATTATTACACAGGATAAGAGCACTAGGGATAAATGGGAGATTGTATATGGTTATGGAGGAAATGAAAAGATCATTCTGGAAATCATGTTGATATTCTTGCACCAATTAGAAGGTGGAAAAGAGCATACCTTTCGGGAAAAATATAGACTCCTCAGTTCACGTAGAGAGCTAGGAGCTATATAGTATATATTGTGAAAGTTCCTATTGAAAATACAAATTGCTACACAGGTGACTACTCCTCTGCTCATACCTTGAATCTCAATTTCAGGAGCTATGATGCTAGAAGCACATTTATTCCCAATGCCCCATGGTTTTCAAGTGTTTGCCTTGACCTCAAAGGTACAGAATCTGGTTTATCCCTTCTATGAGATACAAAACATATCCTTTTCTTTCCTTTTCCTAATTCTGGTCCAATATTTAATGAAATATTTTTTTTTTCTGATTCCCCATCTCCTACAAACTACGACAAATAAATTTGCCTTTACAGGCAGTAGCAAGCGAAATCATGTCATACATAATGAAAATCATAATGAAAAATTAAACATTGCCTTCTCTTTTCTTTGTTCATGATAGATTTCTTAGATTACCACCCAAAGAATCCAAATTCGGCTTCTCTTCCCTAATAGTACATACCTATCCCACGCTTGTTTAATCCTGAAATATCCCCCTGCATGTGACTTACCTACATTCTTTTATTTAATTCATTCAGTCATCCCTAGCTTTTGCTAAAAAGTCTTTGTTGAGGTACAATTATTGGCACATAGAAAGAATAGTTACTTCTACTGAATGTTCTCTATTCTACGTATCTACAATACCCTTTGCTCAGCTAACTTGTACAATCGTGACTATGATGGCCATTAAGGTTAGTCCGTTCCTTCATTTGTTAATTTTTAATTTTTTTAATTCTATTTTTGTTAACTAATTTTTTTGGTGATTTAGAGTCCCTGTTATTATTGATTATTTTTTGTTTGTCTGAATCACATCATTAAATATTTAGTTTTATTTTTTGTAAGTTATACTTTTTTGTATTTAGCCTCCGTTAAGGTGGCGGTTTTTGTCTTTTCTAAGTTTCCCTGTCTTCAGTATTTGTGGGTAATTCATCTACTGACCCATTTTAAGATGGCGGTACCACTATTCCTGGCTTTTTCAAGATGGAGGTTCCGTACATCCGGTTTCAGTTGGGAATCCATCAATGACCCATCTCAAGATGGCGTTATCATGATTTCCGTTTTTTTTCTAACATGGATACTTCACACTTCCACTCCCAGTCGCTGATTGATTTACAGTAAGGGGGTGGACATGCAATACTATATAAATATGTGAGGCGTCAACACTGCAATACCCCTTGATAATGTCCTATTGGATGAAATGCGTTGGGGAGGAGTTTACAGTGCTGATGTCACTCCGCTGCGCGATCCCGGGTCCGCAGCGGCTGTTCAAGTATTCTGACATCTTTTGCTATATGTTCTTTGTTTTTATGTACTTTTAACCACTTGGTATTTAAAAAATACTACACTATTGGAAGTTTATTTTGCTCCTGGTGAGAGGTTTCCCTGTTTTCAGTATTTGTCTATGTGGGTAATTCATCTATTGACCCATTTTAAGATGGCGGTACTACTGTTTTCAATCTTTTCCAAGATGGAGGTTCCGTACATTTAGTTTCAGTTGGGAATCCATCAATGACCCATCTCAAGATGACGTTATCATGATTTTAGTTTTTTTCTAAGATGGATACTTTGCACTTTTGGTCCCTGTCCCTGATTGATTTACAGTAAGAGGGGGAACATGCAATACTATATAAATATGTGAGGTGTCAACACTGCAATACCCCTTGATAATGTCCTATTGGATAAAATGTATTGGTGAGAAGTTTACAGTGCTGACGTCACTCTGCTGCGCGATCCAGGGTCGGCAGCGGCTGTTCATGTAAGCTGAAATCTTTTGCTAT